ATCAATAATCAGTGATCAAAAATCAATCATCAACATAACTCAAAAAGTTATGGACCGATTTTGATTAAAATTTTCAAGGTAGGTCAGAAATGGGTTAACTTAGAAGTGATTAATTTTTGGTGGTAATCTGGTTTAAAACTGTCAAAATATACATATATTCTTTTATTTTGCAGATGTTTATTTTAATCTTTCATGAACTCAACAAGCATCGGAGTCTTCTTATTTCCTTTTTTTTTGCTAAATAACGGAGGAACGCACCTCACTCTACGAACACATTTTCTAAAGCTTGATTCAACGTCTTTACATAGCCTAGAACACACATGAACAAACGCAGCACGAGGAAATGTCCTTTTACTGGTGTCTACATCTGCCCCAACCATATCTCGACAAAGGCCACCGTAGGCATTTTTATTATTGTTTTACACATTATAAAGAAAGGAAAATTAAGTGTCCAATCTCTGTGCAACTGTTAAAGATGTTACCTCTCCAAAGCTCCTAACACTGGCAATAAAGTTATTTTGTATAGAGATCTTTATGCAGTCGGGCATCGATCACATTTTCTATTACATATATCTATTGAAGTCGTGTTATGTGAGTGAGGGTGCGCTCTCGGTGTGTGTGTGTGTGTGTGTCCTTGGAAGTGATCCTGACTGTCTTTCCACCTCACTATCAGAAGAACCCGTTTAATTGCTTAGCCACTGGTTAAAACGTGCCCTTCGTTTTTCTGAAAACTATTCAGCTATCTTATTACTGTGTCACTCTCACGTGCTTCGGGTCAGCATGCCGCCATGGACGGGCCCATGTCATTGAGTTCGCAGTTCTCCATCATGTCGGGCACAACATTCTGATTAATTAGCACTTCAACAACCTTGAAAAATTATAGGCGTTGTGTAGCGGTCTCCGTACGGCGCATTCATCAGGAGGAGGTGATCATGACATTCTGCTCGGCAAAATGCTGAATGGCATGAAACAATCCACCTTTTGCTGTAAATTATAACTCCTAGACGAGTGGGACGAGTGCGACATACCCGAATTCAGCACGGCCTGACTCAACGTTAACTTAAAATGCGTCTGATATATTCCTCCTGTTGGATTAATTAGTCGAAGTAGTTAATACTTTAAAACTGTCAACCGCAGATGTTTTAGTCCAGCTCCACTACGTCTCTTAAAATGCTTTGGTGTGCGGCGTGTAATTTTTGCCACCGTGTAGAACAACCTGTAATGTGTATACCCGTCCACCAGTGAAAAACTTAATATTATTCGCCCTTGATCACAGCCAAGGCGACAATTGCCCTGTTGGATCGATTGGATACACGAATCTGACTTTACTCTTTCCTTGTCTAGGGTCTTGATTAAACAACTTTGCGTATTAAGGGGGGGATTAGAATAGTTGCACCGGGGTTCGTGTATTAAGTAATCAGTAAGCGAGACTGTTGCATGTGTGAAGAAAATGCGAAAAGTGCAAAAATGAGATTTAAANTATGTGGCTTTTATTCTTAAAGCTTGAGAAAATAAATTTTGAACAAAGTGGCAGGTATGTTTTTGCAAAATACATAATATACATAAATTTTCAGACACAGATGATCATAATATATACGTAGAATGTGTATTGCATGGTCGCTATATCACGGACGCAAAATGTGTGTTTGTTTAATTTCCTTATATAAGAAAAAGATTTTGTTTGTAGGTGACGGATAGGCCAAATTTGTCAATGTTGAATGGATGTGCAAGTAACTTAAGAAAATATACTACTACTATATTACTAAAATCATATAACGATATTTGACATTATTGTCACATGGTTTTGAGACATACAGGTACAGGTTTAATGAATGGAAGTTCCATATTGTATTTACCTCCGCCAAGGAGGTTATGTTTTCACCCCTGTTTGTTTGGTTGTTTGTCTGTCATCAACATAACTCAAAAAGTTAGGGACCGATATTGATGAAAGTTTTAGGAACTGTCTGAAGTGGGTCAAAGAAGGGATGATCAGTTTTTGGTGGTGATTCGGATCAATAATCAATCAATAATCAGTGATCAAAAATCAATCATCAACATAACTCAAAAAGTTATGGACCGATTTTGATGAAATTTTCAGGGTAGGTCAGAAATGGGTTAACTTAGAAGTGATTGGTAATCTGGTTTTAAACTGTCAAAATATATATTCTTTTATTTTGCAGATGTTGATTTTAATCTTTCATGAACTCAGCAAGCATCGGAGTCTTCTTATTTCCTTTTTTTTTTTTGCTAAATAACGGAGGAACACACCTCACTCTACGTACACATTTTATAAAGCTTGATTCAACGTCCTTACATAGCATAGAAAACACATGAACAAACGCAGCACGAGGAAATGTCCTTTTACTGGTGTCTACATCTGCCCCAACCATATCTCGACAAAGGCCACCGTAGGCGCATTTTTATTATTGCTTTATACATTATAAAGAAAGGAAAATTAAGTGTCCAATCTCTGTGCATCTGTTAAAGATATGACCTCTCCAAAGCTCCTAACACTGGCAAAAAGTTATTTTGTATAGAGATCTTTATGCAGTCGGGCATCGATCACATTTTCTATTACATATATTTATTAAAGTCGTGTTATGTGAGTGAGGGTGCGCTCTCGGTGTGTGTGTGTGTGTGTGTGTTTGTGTGTGTGTCCTTGGCAGTGATCCTGACTCCTTCCACCTCACTATCAGACGAACCCATTTAATTGCTAAGACACTGGCTAAAACGCACCCTTCATTTTTCTGAAAACTATACAGCTATCTTATTACTGTGTCACTCTCACGTGCTTCGGGTCAGCATGCCGCCATGGACAGGCCCATGTCATTGAGTTCGCAGTTCTCCATCATGTCGGGCACAACATTCTGATTAATTAGCACTTCAACAACCTTGAAAAATTATAGGCGTTGTGTAGCGGTCTCCGTACGGCGCATTCATCAGGAGGAGGTGATCATGACATTCTGCTCGGCAAAATGCTGAATGGCATGAAACAATCCACCTTTTGCTGTAAATTATAACTCCTAGACGAGTGGGACGAGTGCGACATACCCGAATTCAGCACGGCCTGACTCAACGTTAACTTAAAATGCGTCTGATATATTCCTCCTGTTGGATTAATTAGTCGAAGTAGTTAATACTTTAAAACTGTCAACCGCAGATGTTTTAGTCCAGCTCCACTACGTCTCTTAAAATGCTTTGGTGTGCGGCGTGTAATTTTTGCCACCGTGTAGAACAACCTGTAATGTGTATACCCGTCCACCAGTGAAAAACTTAATATTATGCGCCCTTGATCACAGCCAAGGCGACAATTGCCCTGTTGGATCGATTGGATACACGAATCTGACTTTACTCTTTCCTTGTCTAGGGTCTTGATTAAACAACTTTGCGTATTAAGGGGGGGATTAGAATAGTTGCACCGGGGTTCGTGTATTAAGTAATCAGTAAGCGAGACTGTTGCATGTGTGAAGAAAATGCGAAAAGTGCAAAAATGAGACTTATAAATGTTCTCGGTCTCCGCCATAGGATTAATATGATAGCACATAAAAAATGATAGCACAGAAAAACTGTCAAAGTGTTGCAATAAGCATTAATTAACGAACAAATTGAATGGTTGGTAACATAATCCTTTATTCGGTACAACTGTAATGGAAGCCGATAGGGATGAATGAAGAAAACCATGTAGGCGTGGGGTACTTGTTTCAATGAACGCCTGTCTGTGGAGACATTCTATGCGCAGACACATTGCGGGAACATCAAAAGACTCTTCTACGTGTGCTAAGTTCAGGTGCCTCCTACATGAGACACAGGTGATGAATGGTCATCCTACCGGTGCTGACCAACCCTACTTTGTCTTCATTTTAGTCAGACATAATTTGTTGTATTATATAACAGAGTGGCTAAACATCTAAACAACGGGAGTTGTACTTGTCATCGTTTTGATGTTTTTAATCCATAAACCATGCAACTGACCCGATTTTATTAGTTTAAGTCTTTTTTGTCGATATTGATAAGGGAAAAATAAGTTTGAGGTTGTTTGGGGGGGGGGGGGGGGGGGAGAGGCGTGGGAGGAGCAGCCGTTGTGGTGTTAACTGGCAGCACACTCTCGACTATGAATACATAAAAAAAAACAGTACGCATGTATAAAACAAAATGAATCAGATGACAAAAAAGGGGGAAAATTTAGCATTACGAATGTCGGTAAAGATAAATTACACGAACAGAAGTAGCTTCCACTTCCTTGTGAATTAGTTGAGAGTTCTGTTCAGTGATGGAGAGTTTCCTTATTACCGCGCCATTAGTGTGAATGATGGTATTTCACATATGAAGGGGAACCGCACTGGGCTTAGCAAAGTATTAAAGGTAATTTAGCTGAGTGGTCGCCTGTGTTTGAAATCAGGAGAAACTCTGGATTACTGTTGTAATCATCAAAAAGATTTAATGAGATATGTTGCTGGCATATTCCTATTTAATGACCACTTATCACATTAACACGTTTTAACTCAACTCACTCGAATTAAGTCAACTTCAACGAGAGAAAAAATGCAGCCCGAAATCGAATATTTTTCTTGTCAACAATAACAATATTTGAACTGTTTCGCCAAGAAAAAAAACCGATGTCGATAAAGCATGTCAAGATATGTGGATGATACTTCAATAACCAGAGAGATTATCTGTAGACTTGCTATCTGACAACTAGATTGCGCCCAAGAATGTAAAATCGGGACAAGTAAGGTTTTGACATAGGTTCCAAAGTCACATCTTGTATATTCCTAAACTTGGAAGCGTGCGATAGCGGGTGCACCCTCCGTGTTTATTAGTTACGTTCGTGGTGAGTGGAGAGGCATATGTAACGTGCCTCCTCTTTACCTGCCCACCACCGTGTCCGTTTTCTCCGTGCGGCAAAAGTTCAAAGACTTCGCTACTTCCTACGTCACGAAGTGATGGATTTCTTGTAAGATTGTTTAGAGCACACCACACCGCCGTGGTAGAATCGAGAGGAGAGAGAGAGCGAATCGTTTGGGAGGCATTTGCATGTTAAAACCGCGTGGCGAAACCAATCAATTGAAGTTTCAATTCTTAGTCAGTCAGTCGGAAGGTACCATGTAGTGGTTGAACGAAGAATTTCACGGAGTTTAATTATGTACATTGAGGATTGCAGTGGAAAGTAAAAACGACAGATGAGTTGGAAAGCAACATATTTGTTGTCTTAGTTCCAAGAACCCGCCGGATACACCTACTAAAACGCAGGAAGTTTGCGCCTTGTTGAAAACCTTTGGAAGGAACCTTTTTCTGAAGACGCTTCGTTCCCAGACGGAGATAGCTTGGCCTCGAGTAGTCTGTCATATCGCCTTGTCAAAAACGCATGCGTTGCGGTAATTTTCAGCTATATAATTCTGAGTGAAGTTTATTGCCAAATATTGGAGATAAGATTTTCGAGAGTTGCCTGGCAAGGGTCTACGTCAGCGGTCAAAGGGCAGGCCGAGCTACGTCACCACGTATTGTCGTTTAAGAAGTGCGACGTTTTTCAAGTTTTGATTGGCAAAGGGCAAAAAGTCCCAGAAGAGAGCACTGTCTAGTTAACGTGCTGAAAACAGGCAGGGTAAACATCCATCTTCCGAAACGCCAAAGAATGCAGCGTGTGAATGAACCCGAGTAGGGGATCAAAAACCCGGCATTCTTGGAGAATTAACACGCGGAAACGTTCTGGATTTTTAATTAGTCAGCGGAGCTAAAAACGAAGCCCATTAAGTGTTTGATAATATACACCAGCCTCGGTAGAACATGACATTTTCCCGTTAGTATGCCAGGACAGGGACTTCTTCCACCAGGATGAGGCTGAGCACATGGCTGGCTAAAGGCCTGAGCGGGTTCTGGCTGGCACTCTGCTTCTTTCCACAGACAATTGCCTACTTTGGGTGAGTAAAGTGCCGTGTATTCTCCTCCTCCTGTCCAACTGACATTACAAAAAAAAAAAAAAAAAAAACTCTTTTATTGATAGAATCTATCAATTTATTTTTCTGTGGACACTGACTATTGTTTTTATTGCACCATATTACAACATTACCATTATCATCACCGCAACTACCACCACCACCAACCACCACCTCCACTTCAAAGGAAGTATCGGACCTGATAACCTGCTGTTGCGTATGTTGTGCCCCAGTAGTCGTCGCAGATGTTAATCTTTCGCCTCCTCCCCCCACCAGCCACCCGCAACACCACCATCAGTACTCCATCTTGCATACTGTTACTGTATCTGCTGTCATCTCTCCACAGATTGGCCGCGTCGGAGCCGCTCTTCACGTTCAAGCTGGACTTAGGGGTCTCTAACCGGGTGTCCGGGAGTGGTCAACCCCGCCACAAAAATTCCGCCGGCCCGCAGACAGACCCGGAGATTTGCGAAATGTTAAAACTGAACACGAAACAAAAAAGGATGTGTAAAAGGGACAAAAACGGAGGAGTCGCCGATACGCTTGTGGAAGCCACGAGGCTGTCGGCGCTGGAGTGCCAATTTCAGTTCCGATATGAGCGATGGAACTGTTCCTCTGGCCAGTATCGATTGAATATTCTAAAAAAAGGCAAGTAAAAAGTTTGTTTTTCCTGCAATAATATCCTTATCGTTATAACCTCAGTGGCTTTATGTAGAATACACGTGTTAAAAAAAGTACATCATGAACACGCCGCACTAAATATATAAGCTTTAAATGTCAATGGGTTTATATAGTTGGATTATTAGACAAAATTGTCGTAGATTACGTACTGGGGTCAGAGAAAAACAGAACGTATACTGTTTGTGTATCGAGTATTAGGCAGACATGCTCTCATGTGGTTCGTGTCATTTGTGTATTAAGTTCAGAACACCTCATTCGCTGTCTTTTCGCCATTTCTTTGAGCTTATATAGACTGGCAATAATTGGGAGATAATCCGTGATTTATTGAGGTAAACTTTATTACAAAAAGGAGGCAGATTTGGACCCAGTCTTTATCTTGAACAAACGAGTTAACCATTGCTTTCTCATTCCTACACTGTTTGCTTATGTCGAGCTATTCCGCCCAACTCCCCGTTATTTATCACTCGCTATCACCTCGACATTGAGACTTGATGAGTTGACACGGGGACCATACTTTTCGCTTGATGTTGACGGCGAATCTGACAGAATATCGGTTCGTGCTGGGACTACATCGATGAGTTATGATAGGGTCGACGTGTTGAAGTTTTGTTTAAATGCTCTCTCTCTCTCTTTCCCTCTCTCTCCCTCTCTCTCTCTCCCTCTCTTACTCTCGTTCTCTCGTTCTCTCTCTCTCTCTCTCTCTCACACTGCTACAATAGAAGAAAAGGATGGCATGAAATAATTTCATTTTTCATTTTCCTGAGAGAAGCTCACCGATACTTTCAGTTCGCGATTTTTTTATCAAACAGAATATGCACAGCATGTCTGTCGAACATTTTTATATTAGGGCATTCTGAGCAAGAAGGTCGCTGAAGTAAGTGGCCAGACACCCTGAGGGCGCCTAAGTCGGTTGGTTTCGCTACCCTGTTCCGTTCTGGGTCAGTGAGGGCAGCCACTTGACCACAATTAACAGAGTTCAAATTTCAGGACAGATTTCCTGGACAAGTAGCGCAAATTGGAGTAGGTAGCCATACGTATTGATGTATTTATTTATGTTGGATATTCCACATAAGATTTGCTTAAAATTCAAATATCATTTCCGTAAGTCTTTGTATGCAGCATCTTGCAGATGCTTGCTTATTGAGTCCACCGAATCACCCTGGCGCGTAAAAGTTTGTTGTGTTTTTCTTCCTCAATATATCCATTTTTACAACTTTCAGTTATCACAAAAGATAAGGAAAATGCTAGAGCTCGGTTCTCCGGGCATTGTTGTGTCAAGTTCAATTATTTGCATTGCCTGTCTATTAATTTGGATCGGTGGTCATCAAAATTGGTGACTTCCCTAAAGTTCCTCACACTGCCATAATCTTACGTCAGTCTGTGGTAAAAAAAGTATTGCAGGTGGGGTAGTTTTTTATGCATACCAGAAATTCCTCTGTTAATTTAAATTTATCAATTTTGAAGTGTCAATTTTGCACTGTCTGTAAGGACACGAAATTGGATGGTTAATAAAATGAGAGGCCACGCGTTTTTTTTTTTTTTTTTCGCGCCAGACATGTCAGGGAGATCGTGATGCTCTGCTAGGTAAATATAGTCTGTGTCGAACATATTGGTATTTGGCATTATTTGAGAACTAGGATAAGACCACTCTGTTCCTGTGTGAGAAAAGTCAAAACATTGGTATCAAGGTGGGTTAGTGATTGAAGTGGAAGCTCTAACTATCAAAGCCATGTCCAAACTTCAAACCACACAACTCATGTTACAAGACACACACACAGTAGCTGCGGAAAAACATGTAAATCTCTCCGCAGTCGTAACCAGTTAAACAACCAAAGTGACGGGTTACCGTTTGACTTTGGAAGCGTGCTATTTGAGAGTTTACATTTCTCGTCTTGGGCACGTGCCTAACACCCAGCTAGCAACAACTTCTTCCATATGATTACAAACTAGTAATTCCATTAGGAATCCAGCTGTTACTAATTAGCTAATTAGTTAAATAAACTTTTCTTCATAAAGAATCTTCCGTGTATTCAGTGCATCAGTCAATCGGGAAGTACATGTTTAAGTCCATGTAGTGGCTTCTGCTCGACGAGGTTTTAATTTAAATTTGAGCTCGAACTNCATCATGAACACGCCGCACTAAATATATAAGCTTTAAATGTCAATGGGTTTATATAGTTGGATTATTAGACAAAATTGTCGTAGATTACGTACTGGGGTCAGAGAAAAACAGAACGTATACTGTTTGTGTATCGAGTATTAGGCAGACATGCTCTCATGTGGTTCGTGTCATTTGTGTATTAAGTTCAGAACACCTCATTCGCTGTCTTTTCGCCATTTCTTTGAGCTTATATAGACTGGCAATAATTGGGAGATAATCCGTGATTTATTGAGGTAAACTTTATTACAAAAAGGAGGCAGATTTGGACCCAGTCTTTATCTTGAACAAACGAGTTAACCATTGCTTTCTCATTCCTACACTGTTTGCTTATGTCGAGCTATTCCGCCCAACTCCCCGTTATTTATCACTCGCTATCACCTCGACATTGAGACTTGATGAGTTGACACGGGGACCATACTTTTCGCTTGATGTTGACGGCGAATCTGACAGAATATCGGTTCGTGCTGGGACTACATCGATGAGTTATGATAGGGTCGACGTGTTAAAGTTTTGTTTAAATACTCTCTCTCTCTTTCCCTCTCTTTCTCTCTCTTACTCTCTCTCTTTCTCTCTCTCTCTCTCTCTCACACACACACACACACACAAACACACACTGCGAAAATAGAAGAAAAGGATGGCATGAAATAATTTCATTTTTCATTTTCCTGAGAGAAGCTCACCGATACTCTCAGTTCACGATTTATCAAACAGAATATGCACAGCATGTCTGTCGAACATTTTTATATTAGGGCATTCTGAGCAAAAAGGTCGTTGAAGTAAGTGGTCAGACACCCCGAGGGCGCCTAAGTCGGTTGGTTTCGCTACCCTGTTCCGTTCTGGGTCAGTAAGGGCAGCCACTTGACCACAATTAACAGAGTTCAAATTTCAGGACAGATTTCCTGGACAAGTAGCGCAAATTGGAGTAGGTAGCCATACGTATTGATGTATTTATTTATGTTGAATATCCCACATAAGATTTGCTTAAAATTCAAATATCATTCCCGTAAGTGTTTGTATGCAGCATCTTGCAGATGTTTACATATTGAGTCCACCGAATCACCAAGTTTGTTGTGTTTTTCTTCCTCAATATCTCCGTTTTTACAACATTCAGTTATCACAAAAGATAAGGAAAATGCTAGAGCTCTGTTCTCCGGGCATTGTTGTGTCAAGTTCAATTATTTGCATTGCCTGTCTATTAATTTGGATCGGTGGTCATCAAAATTAGTGGCTTACCTAGAGTTCCTCACACTGCCATAATCTTACGACAGTCTGTGGTAAAAAAACACAAGTATTGCAGGTGGGGTAGTTTTTTATGCATACCAGAAATTCCTCTGTTAATTTAAATTTATCAATTTTGAAGTGTCAATTTTGCACTGTCTGTAAGGACACGAAATTGGATGGTTAATAAAATGAGAGCTAGGCCACGCGTTTTTTTTTCGCGCCAGACATGTCAGGGAGATCGTGATGCTCTGCTAGGTAAATATAGTCTGTGTCGAACATATTGGTATTTGGCATTATTTGAGAACTAGGATAAAACCACTCTGTTCCTGTGTGAGAAAAGTCAAAACATTGGTATCAAGGTGGGTTAGTGATTGAAGTGGAAGCTCTAACTATCAAAGCCATGTCCAAACTTCAAACCACACAACTCATGTTACAAGACACACACACAGTAGCTGCGGAAAAACATGTAAATCTCTCCGCAGTCGTAACCAGTTAAACAACCAAAGTGACGGGTTACCGTTTGACTTTGGAAGCGTGCTATTTGAGAGTTTACATTTCTCGTCTTGGGCACGTGCCTAACGCCCAGCTAGCAGCAACTTCTTCCATATGATTACAAACTAGTAATTCCATTAGGAATCCAGCTGTTACTAATTAGCTAATTAGTTAAATAAACTTTTCTTCATAAAGAATCTTCCGTGTATTCAGTGCATCAGTCAATCGGGAAGTACATGTTTAAGTCCATGTAGTGGCTTCTGCTCGACGAGGTTTTAATTTAAATTTGAGCTCGAACTAAATATATCTTACAGCACAAAAAATAATCTGTTTTTGTCTTTTTATATTTTATTATATCTAAAATTACACCGACTAGCAACAACGCCGGTTTCGTATTAGCAAATTCACATCTGAGTCCTTATATAACCCACGGTTTTGAAGATATAAAAATGCTTTGGAGTTCCTCGTCTCCTTGAGAACTGTGTGATTTTAGGTTGGGCTCTTATGTACTGAAGTGGAGCCTTTGACAAAAAATAGTTGTGAGGGAGTGAGAATCAGTACTACATACTATCAAGAGGGCACCATAAATCTTCATCTCAAGTCTGATACACACGGCCCTTTGTTGTCTACCGAACGGTATTATTCTCTGTAAAAATGGTCGGTTTGATTTCTCTCCGTTACGTCCAGCCCTTGTATAGAAAACAACTAGGGTGGCGAGATGGAAGAAAAATTATATCTGTTTTATGTAAAATGGATGAAACTGAGATACACGAACAAATTTTTGATACAGGATTATTCTCCCGTCTGGAGGGGGATGACAATGGTGTGATTGAGGAAATGAGAAGGGTGAAGGCATGGGAAATTTAGTGCAGGCGTTATTTAAGAATACGATGTATCAAATACACCACAGACTAAGGTAGGGGTCCTTGGGATTTTTGCGTCCAGAAGGCGCCGTATTTTTTTTTTTTTTTTTCAAATTGAACTTTTGATGTTAACAAGATATTTATTTGTATTTATCATTCTCTTTATGGGAAAATCAAATAATAAAATACTACAAGGATCTCTTTGACGATTGGGCTTGTTTCATACTCTC